GGTACCGGGGATTGAACTCGGGTCCTTGCACTTGCAAGGCAGGCCACCAAACTGCAGAGCTAAATCCCTGGCCCTTAAAGCCTAGAATTTCTGTAACACAATAATGAAGTGTTTCCATAGAAATACTGAACAATAAATACTCTATTTTGCTGAGGCATCCAGCTTAAGAGTTCATGCCTTTTTCCTTCTCTTTGACACAGGGTCTTGGTATTTTGATACGCAGTGCAGGCTGGCCACAAACTCACAACTGTGCTGCCTCAGCCTGAGTACTGAGATTATAAGTATGTGCCACCATGCCTGGCTTCGTATCTAATTTTTGTGCATTAAAAATCAGCATGGACTTGAGACAATTTAGAACACACCGCTGTGGCCGGTCGGATTAACTATAATTGGGGGAAAATAACAGTACTCCTAATTCCCTCAAGAAAAACCACTACATGTGTAATGTACCCCTTGAGGTTAGCTACTCTGCGTTCTACACTGGGTAAGGCAAGGAACAGTCTCCCCTGGAGCCTCAGAGGACCTGGTCCAGCTGATGTCTCTCTTGCTTTTTAAACTGGGAATTGAACTCAGGACCTTGCACTTGCCAGGCAGGAATGGCACCGCTGAGCTACATCTCCAACCTCCAGCTGAAGTCTTGGTGTCATGTTTTGGCCTTCAGAGGTAAGATAATAAATTTCTCTTAAGCCTGGGAAATTCACCCAGCCAGATAGAGCAAGCAGGCTTTTTCTCGTCTGTGTCCGTTCATGGGCTGGCTCCTCCAGGATCTAACCTGGGATATGCAGAAGAAAAACCGACAAATGCAGGAACTCACTGCCCAAGTCGCTGCTGAGCTCCCAAGGTTCCAGGACCATCACGTCTTCTCTGCCTTTCTGTCTTACACTGCATTTGCTAATACAGTGTCCAAGGATTTAAAAGCACATCTATTTCATCTGTTTAGAAAGAAGCCCTAACTCCTGAGTTTCCACTTTTTCAATTTATCAGAATGGTCCAGCAACACACTTTTAAAATCACGGCTGATTGTGTCATTTTCCTGCTAGAAACTGAGTAACTGCATCCACGGCCTGACTTAGCCAGCACTCACTGGCTCCCTAGTCTCCCTACGCTTGCTTTCTACCTGTCCTTTGCCCAGGATTCCAAGTCGTGCTTTCTCAGGCTCTAGATCCTGTGGATGTTAACAAAGGGGCAGCAGAGTTCTGTGGTAAAATGATTTAGGAAAGCAGTGGATTTATACAAATTAAACCAGCTTTTTATTATAAGGCTCTGTGGATAAGTGCTCACTGTGACTCTCCAAGGAGCAGTGAAAGCAGGAAGCACTTCCTAAACTTACTTCACCAGGACTGCTTCATACGGTCTCCATGGAAGCCGCTTCGTGAAATTCCTCTACTCCGACTTTCTTCTCCAAGCCTGTTATCCGTCTGTGATCGCCTGCACTAGCTTTGCCCCCGTTCTGCCCATGTTTTTGAGTTTTGTGAAATATGTAAGAAGCAGTGCTACCGCACTGCTACCCACCCAGGCACGCTCAGTTTTACCAAATTTCCCATTTTGTTGAATTTCGAGTTCAGGAGCCCTAACCATAGCTGTTGTAAAAGTGGACTGTGGGACTCCCGATTAACAGTTGACTCGTCTTAAAAATATATAGAAACTATTTATAAAAATAGGCAATTTAATAATATTGCTGGTGATGTGAAAGGCAGGAACACACCCATCCCGCCCAGGCAGAGGTGGGCAGGTGCCCAGCCTGGGGGCCAGCAGGCACCCTTTGCTTCTTCCCTTCTTCTGAGTGACAACCGACACCAGGTGAGCCAAGGCTGGCTCTAGGGAGTCAGTCAGGCAGAGCGCATGAAGACAGCGGGACGTCGGCACCGCTCTCCAACTCTGCCGAGAGGATGACCACCGACACGGTAGGTAAAAGGGAAACTTTAGCAGCAGTGCAGTGAAGGAGAAGAGAGGATGTGGCCGGGCCACATCTGTGATTAAAGTATCTGTCGAACAGAAGCTGAATCCAGATGAAACCCCGGCTCTAAGATGAGTGAGGCAGACAGGTCAGGGCCTCTCCGGAAGCAGGGAGGAGACAGGAGAGGACAGGCAGGCACCAGGTGCCATCTCAGCTCTGTCCCGAAACATTCCAGGCAGATTTCTGTCTGGCAGTCCATGTGACAAACCACACACAGAGCTCTTTACGCAGAGCAGAGGAAGCAGCTGTGGAGGCTCTGTTTTCCCGATCACTTGGGATTGGCACTGCCACACACTGGGCCACAATGGCCTTTCAGTGTGCGTACAAAGTGCCAGCACTGCCTGTAGAGGGCCGCGCTCTAGGCCAGGGCGAATGTCACAGCTGTGGGGAAGTAAGACTTCCGTCCAGCTGCTAGAGAGCGCCGGGACATCACTGCAGCAGGAGCCACTGTGGGAGACCCAGGCTAAGTGTGGAACCCCCAGTCACGAGGCCGGCTCCAGGCCACTCTGTTCCTCATCTTCTGTGTGTAACCAACTCCAGTCCAGAGCCTGAAAGAACAGGTTGTTAAATGTTCAGTGGCCACTGTAACCTCAACTCGTCTCTCTTCTCCTGGAGGCAAGCAGCACAACGAGGAAGTGTGGCTACACCTTTCATCAATACTGGCCTGACACTGCAGTGCACCCCTGAGCTGAGCTGCACGTGCAGAACTCTGTGGGCTGCTCCCTGTGGACAGAAGTCCTGTGACTCTGCGCAGACTAGAAAGGTAACTATAGTCCTGCTGAAGGAAGGTAGGAGTGAAAGTTAAGCTTGGCCACTGAATTCCAACCTTACAGAGGAGATGGTGCAGGAGACTCTTCCTCTGGCAGAAATGCTGAGTAAGCAGTGAGATGGCCCATATACAGGAGGGAGGGGAAGAGCTACGAGAGACAGCCCACAGTGGAGATGACCAGTTCACTCATGGCCCAGAGGACCGGTCAGGGCCTTCTCAGCAATGTAAACTCTGCCTTAATGTACCTTCCTGTTCCAACACTGAGCACTGCTGGGCACTGCACCCCTCAGCTGCAGAGCCATGACAGGATCCTGTCACTGGAGCCCAGCAGAGCACCTAGCACAGAGGTACCCACGATGGGCAGCAATGGTACCCACGGTGCAGGGAGGCATAATGGGAGTGATGCTGCCTCGCCACGATTAAAACTCATAAAGATTAATTAAGTAACTAAATACGTAACATGCTTACAGCATGCAATAATTAATAGCCATTAATTACTACGTATAATTTAGAACATACCAGAAAGTCCTACACATATATTGAGGCTACAGAGACTGAGGCTAACACTGGTTGGCTTTGTTTTCTTTCCATTCTGCTGCAGAAGAAAGGGCCCAGGAGGGCTGGGATTCCCCGGGAGTTACCATGAGGCTTCTGTCTTGCTCCTTCATGGTGTCCTGCATGGCACTTTCCAGCCGGAAGCAGAGAGAGTGGGCTTCAGCCACAAGCTCTTCACTGTGGGCGACAATGGAGCGGTCATTCACATTCACTGCAGATATTACTATGCTTTAAAATACGCCATAGAGCTTTGGACATTATTTTTTTTTTAAGTAACGATTAATCTGGCCCTGAATGCCTAAACCCCACATCACTGACCAGAGATGTCATGCATCTGGTTAAGTACTTCTTAGAAGCCCAAATCCAGTTATGAGCATTACTTTTCAAAATAAGGAAAGTAACAGGACTCTAAGAATAAAAAGCAGGAAAAAGAAAAGCAAAATAGCTCTTTTTTGCATACTAGATGCTCTCCAAAACTCCAAAAAATCTAAAGCTTTTTCTCAAGTCACCTGTTTTCCAAAATTTGAAACAGGAAGGAAAAAACAATGGACCACGCAATTCACCATGTTTTCATAGTTCCTTCCAATGTGAAAGGCAAAGTTCTAGAAACTCATTTAATTCAGTCTGCTATCTCTTCCCTGTAATAAGAAATGGGTGTCTCCTATCACGCATTAACGGAACACCATGGGACAAGGACAATCTAATAAACCACCTTCCTTTTCTGACTTCAGCTCTGACACAGAGAGACACCAGAGTCCTGTGCTCCCAGGATGGCTTTTCTGAGCTTCAAGGGTAACAGTGGAGGAAAAACGCCCAGGACAGGGTGGCAGTGCCCTTTAACTCGCATCACTCTACAAATGCGACATGCTGCATGGGAAGGAACCCAGGCTGCTTTTTTTCCCCAGTGTTGGTCATAGAACCTGGGGCCTTGCTCATGCTAGGCAAGTGTTCCACCATAGAGCTGTGCCCTAGGGCTCTACAGCACGTTTTTCTCAGCCTCACCTGCTACTGGGTTAGAGGCCTGGTACCAGCTCTAGAAGGCAGTGAGAGACGTGTGAGGCCTGGTTATATGCAAGAGCCACACTGAGCTGCAAACGCGTGGAAAAGCTCAGACTTGGAATAGAATGGAGTGGAAAGCCATCACTAGTCACTGAACAGGTAACACTAGGTCACGACGGCATCTCGTGAGGACTGAGGGTTTGGTGGCAGAACAGACAGAAGTGGATGCAGAAAGCCCTGCCAGGAAGGGGTCAGGATGTTCTGTTCATGGTTCTGCCACAGTGGCCCAGGCAAAAGTGGGCAGTGGAAGGATGAATGGACGATGAGAGGCACTAGGGAGAATCAAAATGGAGGTGGGCAGGAGGGCAGAGGCCAGAGGACTCAGGCTCATGAAAGGGACACATTCTGAAGGGCCGCTAGTTTTGAAGCACAGGGAATGACACTTTCAGTATCCTCGTTAAGCAATTAGTAACCAACCCTTGGACAAACTATTTAGTTAGAAAGTTACAAGGAACTACTGATAGGAGCCAAATATGCAGCCTTGGCCTATGTACAAGGCGTGCAGTCATTTCAGTTTCCAGTTTTAGAACACTTCTGTGACTATGGGGCTTAGCACATACTACACTTGATCTTAGCCATAAGGCTGAGAAATGATAGCATGCATGTATGTATGTATGTATGTATGTCACAAAGAGAAGCAGGCCCAAATCACCAGACAAGTGTTTATCAGTGATGACAAGCACTGCTGGCCCCAGCATCTGATGATGTGCCCTGGAACATGCACTGCTAACTGTAGCTTACCTTTTCTTGGCTGGCTCAGGTAAGCTGTCAGAGGCAGTGGAAGGCTGGGACATCAGCTGCCCAGAGTGACTGAGTCGAGACGAGTTCATGCTGTCTGGGCTTCCGCTAACAGGACCACGGACCTTGCTCTGAAGCACAAAAGTAGAAAGGCAGCCAACAAAAATTTTTTGGTACCAGAGATCGAATTCGGGACCTTGTGCTTGTGAGGCAGGCGGCGGAACCACTGAGCTAAATCCCTGGCCCAGCCAACAAAATTTTGAAACCAACTGATGGAACAAATTTTACACTCACACTAGAGTATTTCTGCTACAAGACACCATAGTTATTCCTCAAAACTACCAGCCCATATCTGCCTAACAGCTGGGACTTTGTACTCAGCCTCAGAGTTTCTGTGCCAACAGGTGTGCCTTCTGAGGAAGGGCTCTAACTGCCAGGAGACACATGCATCTGTTCTTCTGGGCTTTATTTCATTCCTGTGATTCCTTAGTGAACTCTTACATGGAAAGAAAGGGGAGATACTTCTAGCCTTTTCTGCAGAAGACTGAGCTACACAAAAATGTTAGGAGATGTGACTCGCACCCGTTCTGGTACAGCAAAGGAAAACAGATATATTCCAGCTCCAGGGGTGCTGGGCCACTCCACCTGCAGGGCTGCCACTCCGGCACCTCCTCATACTTTCAGCCCATGAATGTGGCCTACTGCCAACTTCTCAGCACCTCAGACTACGTCTCTTGCTGCCCCTCTGGCCAGCTGTAACCTGTCTGCTTCGCAGATTCCTCCTTGTCCCTGCTCCTGGTACTCAGTGCAGCCTAGCCTGTGGCCCGAGAGCTGGGGATGCACAGCTTCAACTCCCCTCCAGGTCAGCCAGGTAAACCAGTATGTCAGCTCCAGACTGTTCCCCTCCAGATGCTGTACCTCCCCACTGTCTAACACCAGCCATGCAGCCATCTATTCCTCCACTTGTGGCCCAGGCCACACAGCAGGGGTCAGTGGCTTTCCAAATTTCTGTGCACTCGGGAGCACCCAACTCCAGCCCCCCACTGTGTGGCTGTCGTTCATTCCACTTTTAGCTGACACAGGTGATCTCTCTAAAACATGAATGGGATCACAGCACCCCATATGCTTCTTTGGTCTGAAAGGGAACCCTGTGCAGTTTCTCCAGATGGTGCTTCTGTAAGCCAGCCCCGACCCTTCCCGTTTCATCCTCAGTGATCCCTCCAAGCCACTCCTACCATCCAGAAGACATCAGGCTTGTCCAGGCCTTTGATAAAGCAATGGCATATCTGGGATGTCCTAACTCCTACTCACCCTTTGGAAACTTTTCTCTTACCAGCCCTGCCTCCACTGCTCACGTGGATGCAGCTTTATAGTACTTCCTGCTCTGAATGCTGCCTGCGTCCCATCAGACCGCCAGCTCTTTGACAGGGACAGCGCCCAGGAGGTAGAAACGCCTCCTCTGGGTATACTTCCTCCTCTCCTAACTTCTAGACCTTATTGTGGCTCCTGTTTTCTTTCTTACAGGAGGAAATGCCACTACCCAAGGGAAACTCACTACCCACATTCCTGGTCAGGACCATGGGCATCCAATGTCCCCTCTCCAACAGGGTCAGTCTCCGGCATGGCCCAGAGACACACTCCAGCCTCCAGGCGGATTTGACCAGGCAGCCCTCTGCCCAGCTCCTTCCCTCTGCCCGTGAAGCTTCTGCTGACTGAACTGTTCTGTTCCCTCCTCTCCCACCTCTCTGCAGCCCTTCACAACAGGGCTACCCTCCAGCAGTTCTAGCTTCTATTGTCCACTGTGCCCTGGGTATCCCCTTCCGCTGGCTGTATTTTTTTTTAATTGAGTTTATTGGTACATTTTAGGTATACAGTACAGTTAACATTCATTATTGGGATCTTGTACCTTTACATGACAGGTCTTGGTTCTCATTTTTTCCCTTTGTCCCTGCCCTCCCTTCAGCTGTCTGGTTTTTGATGTCTTTCTGAGGACATTCAGGGAGGTCACAGGTGCCTTGAGGCAGGTGCAGGCTACACTGCTAGGGCAGCACACACTAGGGGAGGATCGGCCCTACAAGAGCCATGGCCTTCACCCTGATCTGTGGCTTGACCTTATTTAGGAAAAGGGCCTTTGCAGAGGTAACTGGGTGAAGGATCCTGAGAGATCATCCCAAACTATTCAAGTGTGACCCAAGTCTGGTGACAGTGTCCAGAGGGACACACAGAGGTCATAGGAAGACAGAAACAGATCAGAGTAGTGCAGCCCAGAAGCCAAGGAATGCCTGGCACCCCGGAAACCGGAAGAGGCCAGGGCGGATTCTCCCCCAGAGCCACAGAGGGGCACCATTGTGCTGACACCTGGACTCCAGACTTCTGACTTCAGGATCTCTGAGAGAATAATCTCTGTTGCTGAAGCCATCTGGCTGTGACTATTACAGTGGCACGCAAATAATAAAAATAATAGGAGCAGCCCTTCCTCTAATCTCTCCCCTAACCCTCACTCCACACTACAGGAAGTGACAACGAGCAGCTACTGCCAAGGGCCCCGGGGTGGCCCAGTGGCCCACGGGTGGGAGCTGAGTAGCAGTGGGCACTGTCACTCACACACGCGATCTTCAGCAGGTTCCAGAGCTCCTTCTGCCGTTTCTCCTGGAGCTGGACGACAGTCTTCTCATCCTCATTCATCAGACTCACAACCTCTTCCACCTTGGGCAGCAGCTCCAGCGCCTTCTGCTTGCAAACCACAGTTTTGCTGTGAAGATCCAACAGGACATACTCCCATGAGTCTGGGATGCAGCACTCAGGGCACCATCCCCAGCAGCTAGGGGCCTGGTGAGGACGTGCACCAGGTTCCCTGATGACCATGGCTCCAAGCCGAGCAAGAGCCATCAGCAGCCTCCCTGTAGCCGAGCTGCTGCTCTACATCCTAATCTCGAGTTGAAAAGGGGCTTTGTACCTCAGCTGTGTGTAAATCACTCGCACTTTCTTCTCGAAGCTCTGAATGGCCTGAAGTAGCAACCGCACCATCTCCTGACTGTCACCATCTGTTCGCTGGTCTGGGGGGAGAGCGGCACAGTTGCTTCAGGAGGCTGGTAGGGAGGATCGGTGCCTTAGAAAGGAGATGGGAAGGCACTGAGGCAACCCGGACCACACACCTCTTGGCTTTTCCCTCAGTCTCCTGTACAGCTCCCTCGCTTGCTCCTCTCTGAAAGACAGAAGCAGCTGTGGAGATTCAAGGCCAAACAGGCACATATGCAGCACTTCTAACTTATTTTTTTGCAGACAGGGTCTCACTACGTAGTTTAGGCTGGCCATGAACTCACTATGTAGTCCAGGCTGGCCTCCAACTCACAGCGATCCTCCAGCTTCAGCCTCCCGAGTGCTGGGATTACAGGCGTGCGCCACCACGCCCAGCCAGCACATTACTGTCGACTTCTACACAAAAAGACTTAAACTGAGCAATGAAACCAGACCTAGTAACAGCATCACCATTTAATTTAAATTTTCCCTTGTCTCCCACAATAGTCAGGCCAATAATGTCACATTACATGAGTTTGGTGATCAGCACGAGAGGGGTGGGACAGTGCCCCTCTGCCCTGTCCCCTGTGTAATATGCCAGGAACTGCACACTAATCAGAGAGGAGGACAGACCAAGGAAATAAGGACCTTTGCTCCTGAGATCTGCAGAAGTAAAAGGTATCTCGTGACCCACAGTTCAGCTCAGATTGCATCCTCTGGCCCCCTCTCTGTGAGCAGGAGCCCAACAGTCTGGTAACACCTACCACAGCCCATATAAACCATCCCTAAGGCAGCTTCCCGGATGATGGACTTGGACAAGAATTCTCCACCTTCTTGGCCAGCCAGTAGGTTCCTTCCTTGCCTCCACACCTCATCTTTCAAACTCACTATCACGTTGTGTGGTGAGCAGCCAGCCTTGGTCTCGAATCAAGGTTGACTCGGAGTGACAGCCCTCATTATCAAAACTCACATACTCCCAAGGTTTAATGAGGAAGGAATATCCACGCCATCACTCCAGGTACCCTGCCTGGGTCTGAGCAGGAACACACGCCCATCCCGAGAAGCTGAGCCTGTGGAGGCACACCAGCTCCTCTTCCTTTCCCCTAACACATGTGAGACTGGCAACACCCTCCAAGACGACTGATTTGAAAACTAGGGAATTAAGAGCTAAAGAACTAGAGGACATACAAAACAAATAATTAAATTTCTGTTCAGATTTATCATCCTAAGAAGCCTGTCATCAGGAAACACTGGTGAGTTCAAAGTGACATAGCCCTCAATGAACTGATCCGGCCTATCCACACACTGGGGGCTGCAAGTTACTTTCTCCCGCCAGCGTGGGTCTGCCTGATGCCACATCCCCTCGTGGAGCCAATGCCAGATACCTGAAAAAGGCTCAAACGAACAGGGTCCATGTCCAAACACCTAGGCTTGCCAGGCTTCCCCTCTCTGTAACACGTCTGCTCTTTGAGCCTCAAAATCTGGATTGGGATAGGTAGACTGAGCAGGAATGTCTGACAAGATGGTAAAGGCGACTTGCATTTTATAGCCTTTATAGATTATAAACCACTTCTCAAATGCATTATGTAAATGGATCCTTACAACTCTGTAAGGTCAGCGGGGTTTCTTTGCCACTCAACAGCTTTGAAAACTAAAGCTCAGAGAGACAGTGATTTGCCCTGGCTTCTGTGGAACAGGCTCTACAGGAGGGCCGTCCCGCAGCCTCCCAGGACCTGCTCACACACGGACCCCACCGGGGTACTCACAGGTCGTCCAGGGTGCCGCCCTGCTTGCGACCCATCGGGCTCCTCTGCAGGTCCACAATGTCAGTCTGCAGGGCCATCATCCGCTCCACCAGATGTTTCACTTCGTTCTCCTAATGAAAAGGCTGTGCTAATGTCAACTGATGTGAGAAGACCAGACTGAGACGCAAGATTGCCGGGGGCAGCAGCAGAAAACCCTCCTAACTTTGGGGTATTCTTAATTGACTGGCAAAAGTAATATAATCTCTGGCACTGGAAAGTGTTGAGTTTGGATCCTGCATCTACCGCTTTTTAGCTGTGGGGCCTGGGGGCAGTTACCTAACATATGAACTGTACTTTCTGCTTCTATGAGATAGGTTTCTAATGGGGCCACTCAAGGGACTAAATAAATATCTGGCACAGAAAAGATGCCAATTGCACATTACTTTGCTCCCTCTTAATTTGCCCATCCCAATAAAACCCATGTCGGGCAGCCTGGACCCCTTATTTCAAAGATGCAGTATGTGTGAGAGACAAGTTCTGGAGACGCACACCCTCCTCTCTATGGCTAACGAAGGAACCATCTATAGGATGACCCCGAGCATGTGTGCATCCAACCAGGACGACTATCAAAACAGACATGAAGGCACACGGAAAGGCAGTGCGGAAGCTTTGGAGCCCAGGGTCTTACTCTTCTGTGAAGTTCAGAGTCACGCTCACTTCCCTTAGCTTCATGATCATTATTTTCAGTGGCATGTGATTTATGTGTTCTGAGACTCTGCCTCAGTTTTTTTTTCTTATGAATTTCACATCCAAGAAAACTAAGTGAACACTTCTGGCAAGAGGGAGCAGTGAGCATCATCCAATGCCCTTCCTCAGGCACGTGGTATCTGCTCCTTGCTTAAATGCGGAGCATCTCTGTCCCTCTGCACAGCTCTGGAGTCTCGCCACAGGAGGGCTCCTGCATGCTCTCAGTTTGTTTCCATAAAGTTCAGTTCTAGTCCAAGGGGACTGTGAGGAAAACCTGAATTCTGACATAGACCAAGACAGTGTTGACAAGAGAGTGGAAAAAGAATGAAGCCTCACCCACACCACAAGCACAGAGACTGAATTTGAGTTTCCTACCCGCCCACACAGCTCCATGGCCTGTTCCATTTCCTTCCATGCCAGCAGCAGTTTATCTGATGCTGGAAAAAAAAATTGGGGAGATGAAAACAAAATGAAAATACCACAAAACCCAAACAGGAATATGCAACTCTACTGTAAAAGAAGGAAAAGAAAAAAACCTCAAAAAAGAAAAAGGGGTCTGTTAAACTCATTGTGGAATACGCACTGATCCCAAACTCGGTCTGTTCACTGTACTTTTCCAGGTCAATTTGGATGCTGGTTTTAAAGAAATCCAACTTGGCCTTGAGCTGCTGAGACATGGAGGCCATGGAATTCTTCATCTTGGAGAGGCAGCTGTTATTCCGCAGGAGATTCATCCTGCAGAGACCACAAGAAACGGAATCTTGGAGAGCTCTGGGATCCAAATGCCACTTCCTACAATAACAAAAGCCCATCCAATGTCAAGGGAGGCCCTCGCTATAACAACATCCATCATTATATCACCAAAACAGCCATTTATTACTACACAGACAATTTCCCAGCCCTCAGTGACTCATGAGGCTCTGCACCAAAGTTGGAATTAGGCAAAGTACTACATCAAGGGCCAATAATCTAAACTTGTCATATGGAGGAGAGTAATAAGTCCCCTGCATAATAAGCAGGGCAATTTTGCCAAACCAAACTTCAATGAGCTTCTTTGAAGTCCAAATTCTGTCCACAGCTTGGCCACCAGCCCCTGGTTCTGTATTCCTGCTTCGCATGCTAACCACACTCACCTCATAGGCTCTTGGCAGGCAGAAGGGGCCTCCCTCCAGTTGGCCCATCCGCCCACCTCCTGCCCATCCAAACCAGTGTCTTCCTTTCGTCTCTCAAAACAGTTGCCTCTGGTCCCTGCCTCAGCCACCTCCCAAGAGCCAAAGCCACCAAGCAATCCTAAATGAACCACGCCAAGAATGTGGGCCCAGTACATGGCAGCTCGCTGTCCCTGCTGCAGGCGGTTGCAGTCTTCCTTCAGGGCCTGGACGCTGTGCCACACCTGGCCCCACACTTTCCTCAGCTGGAAGAAGGGGAGGTTCCTCTTGGGCTCCTGAACTGCGCACAGAGACAAGCAACTGTCAGAATGACTCTCTTGCAAACAGCCACATCTTCCCTTGTCACTCACCGGCCCTTAAAAAACTGTTAACTATTACACTACCACAGAACTTGTCAAGTGTTACACCTTTTGTTCCCTCAGCACTGAAGATTTAACTCAGGACTTTTGCACTGAGCTACCTTCCCAGATCATTTTTATTTTTAATTTTGAGATGGATCTTCCTAAGGTTAACTGCCCAGCCTGGGCCTGAACTTGCAACTGATCCTCCCACTTCAGCCTCCCAGAGAGCTGGAATTACAAGTGTGTACCTCTACACTTGGTTCCCTGTATATATTTTCAACAGAAACTCCACATCCATGACATTTGAGGTTAAGTTAAGTTTTATAAAAAGGCAACATCAATCCACAATACTGAAGACAATTAAGGCTGAAGATCTCTAAGATCTGTTTATTCTGAGCATGTGGCTGTGGGTGGGCCAGGGAAACAGAAGTGGCAGGGGCATTAAAATATTCTTGGAATATTCATGCAATGGAACACTATTGTCCATTAAAACAAGGCAGTTCTACAAGCACCAACGGCGGAAACATATGGAAAACATACTGTTAAGTCAAAAGGGTAGGAACAGAGCCGTACATGTTGAATGTCACCAGCTGTGTAGGGGAAAGCACCCTGGGATCTCATGCAACACTCTTCCTGGGAGGGAACTGACTAGCTGGGGAACTGGGGAGAGGCTGGCTTCTTTCTCATGTATCTTTTGAGTTTTTAAAAATACCGTGTATATACATTAATTATTAAAATATAAATGCAACTTGAAAAATAAATGAAATGGGCTAGTAGGCAAGCAGACAGTATTCTCTGCTCTGAGGGTGACATGATTCTGCTCTGAGAATCTCCCTTCCTCCTGTGTGCCTGGGCCACTCCTTCTGTGCCCTGAGGACTGGGCACCCAGATTTCCCTGAAAGCTCCTCCCCACTCACACCCTCCCTCCTCCTTGTCCCAAGTATCACAACTGATTATTTTTAAAGAAATGATGCTCTTACGGATGCAACTGACACTTTCGGGCTGGGGTCGTGGGGAGATCTGAGTCTCATAGGCGATTTTACTGTTGTCAAAGAGGAAAACAAGATCCATGTCCAGTGTGCGGCCCTCATTTGGCTACAAAGAGACAAGGACAGAATGAGGTTGCATGGATCCAACTCCTCCCTTTTCCAACTAATCCTAAGAAGCTTCACAGTACTTTCTGCTGTCGCCAAGATCATCATTTTAGGCCAATAGGTACAGAGCATGCACAATGCTTTTCTTCCTGATTCTACACACACTCCTTACAGCCGTCCTTTTGTGTTGATTTTCTGAAGCCATACCTCGTTTACAATGCTTCATGTTGTTTTATTCTAAATGCCTGTCACATGCAGCTCAATGTCTACTTCCCTATGCAGTGACTGTTTCTGCTATGTTAACTCCATCCATTATACTGACTTAGGAGTTCTTCTGTTCTTCAATGCCACAGTCAACACAAAGACTTAACTACTCCATCCCCAGGAAGCCATAAAAGGCTTCTGCTTTTGCAAAATGGCCAAAGAAAGCTACTCTCCATGGTCTGGAAGAAACAAGCCAAATATGGAGTGAGGTCTGTCTCCTAGTTAGGTGCAGAGGACTGCTCAGTCCATCTCACAGCAATAGTGGGCACCTGTGCTGTGGATTAACACACTGCTTCCAGGGTAAGGAAGCAATCGGACTGTGTGATTTGTTCCCTAGGAGACAAAGTCAGGGAATAGCAGGGAAGGCTGCAAAGAGCCAGTGCTTACCTTGCCATCAGAAATACACTGAGTAGCAGGCTTGTCTGGGATCAAGGCCAGACCTGCCTCCTGCAACAGCTCCTGGTCATTCTCTGGGATTCCTGTGTCCTCCTGGATCCTGGCCTTTAATCTCTGCAGACTCTCATCTTCTCTTACAGGATAGGTATGAATAGTGCCTGTGACCATGTTCAAGACATGAACCAGCTGCAACACAATGCAGACGTTAGAAGGATGTCTTTGTAGCGGCGCCATCTACCTGCAGAGGTCCTCCACTACTCTCCTCAAGGCCTGGCTCGCGGAAGGGGGATGGGCATCCGATCTCCTGTGTTCCAGGCTTCAATATTCCTGTTTGTCCACTGCAATGGTCTGGCCCCAGGCGTTAATTACTCAGGGGCCCCACCCTGTATGAATGTACACAGACTCTTCCTGGACCCTGTACTTCCCCACTCAGCCCCCTGGGCATGGAGAGCTTGTTCTGTGAAGCCCTCCTCACCCCACTGTTCCTAGGGCTCCCTGGGCTGCATGCCCACCTTCAGGTTTAAAATGTCATCCAGCGCCCGGAAGCAGCCGTTGGGTCCATACTGGGAGTCTGTGCCCCTCTGCCGGGGGTGCCACATGAGCATCAGCTGCAGCCACTTTTCCAGTCGTTCAGCCAGCACACTAGGAAGAGGACAGAGTGAGAGGGATGTCTCCCGCTGGGTGCAGACACATCACAGATGGATTTGACTGTGCGGCCTGGGGTGTGTCTTGTAGGAGACACATAAGTGATTATTGAAAATGAAAATGGACAAATCTGAGAGCAAGAGCTGAGATGCCTCCAACCAATTAATTATGCAGTACTTATCCCTTTCACCTCACCTCCTACTAAAACAGCTCTCCCCCGCAGGGATTCCAAGGATGGAAAAGCAGCAGAATAACCTCTACCCGTGTGCAGCAATGACCTGCGAGGAGGCTCTAATGGGCACCATGGGGCTGGGAGGCGGCTCAGTAGTACACACAGTACCGCACAGCCTGCAACGTGGGTGCCCTGAGCCAGGGGTGGGGTGGGGGCAGGTGGGAGTGCTTTCTAGCTGCCCCTACCTCCAGGTAATTCCTTTACACACTCAGTCCAGGCCAGGGCTCTCAAGTCTGTGGTTTGGTAGAAACAGGGCCACTGAGCAGGTGAGTGGGTGGGAAGCAAGCACAGAGCCACCTGCATGTACAGCTGCTCCTGTCCTTTGCATGATCACTTGAGCACCTTCTCCTGTCAGGCCAGGGAACTGACTCTTACTGCGAACTGTGCCTGCGAGCGAGTCAGGTGGTGAGCTCCTTATGAGACTCTAGGTAATAACAAAGTGCACAGGAAATGCTGCACTGCAATCATTCTGAAACCACTCCCCACCCCAGTGCATGGAAAAACTGTCTTCCCTGAAACCAGTCCCTTCTGCCAGACAGGCTGACCTAGGCCCCATGCTGCCGGGCGGGTTAATCCACCCTTCAGGAGCATCTGGTGCGTGCGCACACACAGACTTCAAACTCCTGGGTCCCGTGCCTGCCTCCTGGATGCATCAAGCCCTTCCCAGAGGCCCCAACAGCCACTCACTGCCTCCCTAGCAAGCCCCTGCTTGTCATAACCTCTATCCTTTGCGTTTTCTTCCTCTACCCTCTTCATCTGCCCATCTACACATCTTTTCAGAGCTTCCCTAAAAGTTCCAGCACAGACAGTCACTGCACATAAAACCTCTCCCCATTCTCAAACACTCCTGCTCCTCAATACCCAGGCAGTGCAGTTATGTGTGACTGCCTTGAAAATGTCCTTTGTAATGTGACCCAATTCTGACGTTAATACCTGCTTACAGTCTGGCTCTAAGACTAGACTGAATATTGCTGACTATGACACAGTATTAGGCCAAAGGGTACAAAGAGAAATAAAGTATAACTCCTACCCTTAAAAGGCCAAGACTGGGTCTCATCTCCAGCACCACAAAAAGAAAAGAAAAGAAGTGGAAAGATGATTTCTGGGGAGATGAGGGAAGGAAAACTCTATTTGAGATGGATTATGGCAAATTCTCAGTCTTAGTAAAGCATCAGATGTCACCTCAGATTTGCATTTCTGCAAAAGGAAGGCAAGTACGTAGAGGAGCCAGACCCCTGGGCTTTACCTGTTCAGATTGTTGGGGTAAGGTAAAGAGCTTGAGAACTTCACTGCTCCGTTCAAGTCTTCACTGACAACGATGTCTACCTCACTCTTCTGCCGGACTTTGGAATGCCTGTAAATGAGCCATCTATTAAGTATGTGCATTCAGTGGTCAAGAGCCACTTTTCATTTGTAACAGGACATTACGACACTACAGGAGACTCAGGATACCACACCCCTGCCCCGGATGGATATTTAGCCTTCTGGAATAACAGCCTGGTGTTATGGTGTGTAGCTAGGGGTCCCCCAAAGCCTCGTGTGCTCATGGGTGGGCCTTCTGAGAGAAGACTGGGTCATGAGACATGATACTCATCAATGAATTAGTCCACTGATGAATTTACAGCTAAATGTGACTTGGGAGGTAGGCACTGGGGGTGGGAGGTGGCCTGAAAGGGTTTATCTCCCTCCTGCCTCCCTGGATCCTTCTCTGCTTTCTGCCTGCTCTGCCCCACATGTCACCTTCCTCAGAACCAGTCAACTATGGACTGGAACTTCTACAAACTGTGAGGAAGTCTTTCCTCCTTTAAGTTGTAGGTATCAGATACTGTGTCTCAGTAGTGAGAAAGTAACTGAGACACCTGGTTTCTCTAAGTTTAAGAACGATGGGTATTGGACCTAGGGGCGTAGCTCAGTGGTAGAGGCAATGTCAGACACACCAAAACAATAACACAAAGGCTTAGTATACCTGAGTGTGTGTTTGAAGAACAGCCTAGCAGATCCATTGACCATTTTACGTCCTGAGTTCTACAGTCAGTACTGCTGATCCTTGCATCATCCTTGGCTTTTGCTTTTCCCTAATTTCCATTTCATCTATACAAGTGCTCATGTTTTGACAGAGGGTAGAATTAGGGCTTCCAAATCAAGATCATGCATACACGACATATTCATATGAAACCGGTCTGACATGCATGCAATGAACTTCCCTTTGAGTGTACACAGCTAAGTATTTTTTCTAAGGATAAATGAACTTTTACTTTTCTCAGCTTAGGGACTTCTTGATATAGCTGAAGTAAAATTTGAAGGGAAAAAATTTTAAACCCAACTGGCTTCCAACCTTCCTGATAACAAGGAAAGTAATGTAAATGTGGATAATGCCTTACAGATAACTATATGCTTGGTTCTCTTAGTTGCTATGAAATCCCATGTAATCTGCCACTCAGTGGTGAGGAAATGAAGACTAGGTCATCTCTCCAAGTCTCCAAGTGGGGACTCAAATTCAAAATCCAGTGTCTTCTCTACTCTGTCTAATGTCCAAATACACTTTCCCCAACAAGAGTTGGGAAATTCAAATAAAAAAGTGTTCTCGGTAGTGACCAAGTGTCATTGGCAAGCATGGACCTGGCCCACATAGCTGCACAGAAGACCTAGAAGAACTACACACAACAAGGCCGTTAGGCCTCTGTGTACAACTCCAGGACAAACTGAGGAGGGAGTCAGGCCTGAGCTTTCTAATTAAAGTGGACAAATCTGCTATGGAAAACTTAAGTCTGGCAGAGGACTATAAAAGGGCACACAAAATCAAACACATATTGCTTAGGCTAGTCCTGAAATGGACTTCAAAGTAGCTCTGCAAAAGAATTATAAAGCCCAAGTTGCATCTGCCCTGAAATTACTGTCTACCTGCTTCCTTAAATGGAGAGAGAAATTGTTAAAAAATTGTCTAAAGTGTTAAAAAGCCAATGATGGAGGCTCTTCTCATGAAGCAGCCCACAGAACTTCTTCCTCCTGGGTTCTGGAGCAGCCCACTTGCAGGTGGCTTTCTGGCTTCCCTCGCCTCTGAGGGAAGTTTTAGGAAGAAAATTCTGCAAACAGCAGAGTCATTATGAAGATGTTCAACCATTAGTGGAATATTTCCAAGCAGCCATATTTGCTTTTAGTTCTAATGGATTGTAACTCATCTTGTTAGAAATCATGGAAAAGATTAATACTTGAACTAAAAAAATGCAATAGTCCCTTGGTTAATTAAAACCACTACAGATGTGCAAATAATTCAGAACTATTTTTTACGATGGTCCCGTTAGTAAGTGTGACCATCAGTGAATTACCTAATTCCCTATGTTCAGAACCTCTGCAGCTGAAGCAGGTGCCTGCTTGGTGGTGATCACCACAGGAGGGCGGACTCTGCCTCACGGATGCTCCTTCCCATCCCCAGGTCTAGGCTCCCAGGGAATCACTCTCCCAGAACTGCTTTCCTAGGTCACCCAAACTTAATTCATCTCAAGCAACATTCATACTGTAAATACTTGTCCTTTGAACAGTTAATGCTTTTACCACGTCCAGAAAGGTATTTAGAAAGAACAGCCAGTGTGGGCAATGTGGGGTGAAAGGGAAAAGCACGTCTATGCCACCTTTTGGTGAGCAGTGCATGCACACCAAAGCCTTTACAAGTGTGCATATCCTTTCATCTGTCAATTTCATTCCTAGGAATTTGTCCCAGAAAAATAACCGCGGGTGTGCAAGGATTTCCCTACCAGGATGTTATTCTTAGTGTTTTTCTTTTTTAAGAAACTAAAATTATAAACCACTCAAGTTTCCAGCCACAGGGCACAAGCACAAGCCACTCAGTGGAAATACTAAATTCCAAATAATATGGAAAACATAGAAACGTTCAGTATTAGTTTGCAAAGCAGGTTACAGAAGAATGTACATATTAACATTTTTTTTAAAAAAAGGATAAAACACATTTTTAGTTTCAAGACAAGGATTTTTTTTTTTTGCATTATAAACTGGCTCTGAAGGAAATATGCACTGTAAAAAGTTCTAAAGACATCTGCAAGACAATGTTCATACCATGCTACCACTAATGTAATAAAGGGGAGGACCCATAAATGAAAAATCTATGCCAACCTGACTGAATGGATATAAACTGCAATGCAAATGAGGGTGACAAGTCCCCAGGGGGAATACACCATAGGGCTGGGAGACTGGTAGGAGACTCCTTCTTACTATGTAGTTTTTATACTTCTACAGTGTAAACCATATAAAATTACTACTGCTCCAAAAATTTTTGAGCAACATCAGCTTCATTTAAATTAGTGTGGCCTCTTAAGGAAAAATTCTAACTGAAATTTAACTGATTTGGGGGAACGTTGCTTTCAAGTAAGAGTTAACATTCTTTTCTTTTCCCCCCTGTACTTTCACTGATAAATAAAAACTGTATTTATCATGTTAAACACCAAATTTGGCACATATTTGTATACATTTTTTCTACACACTGTAGATGAAGTAATTAACAAGCATTATCTTATGAACTTAATATTTTATGGTGATGATTAACATATTTATAAACAATACACTATTTTTATAATTAGTAAGGTAGGTGTAGTGGGGCATGTCTGTAATCCCAGCTACCTGTAAAGCTGAGGCAGGAGGGGTGTGAGTTTGAAGCCAGTGAGGGCAAACTAGTGACATCCCATCTCAAAAGAAAAGTTAAGAGTGGTTTTAAAAACCTTAATTGTATCTGTGGATTTTTAAATTAGAAAATAGTTTTTTATAATTACTTAAGTTCACATTTTAAGCCACTTTCTTATGCTTTCAAAACATTTACAACCAAGTGTAGTGAACTGGTTAGTGTTAAGTTTTTGCATAAACAGCTCACCCGGGTCTGCCTGCATACGTCACCTTTACTTCTGTTTACTAATACACAGCACTTCCCGTTTAAGTGCCGGCAGTAACAAGGTCCTGACTTGCTACTGAATGCAGAGCAGATGACTCTGATCTGGTACATATTTAAAGATGTTACTTAACAATGGCTCTGTTCTTCTGGGTTTGTGGAGTTCAGTGTGGGTCCCACTGGACCTCCCTGCCAGGGACAACACAACCAGCTAAGCAGCCAGGAGGACTTCAGGATGAGCAGAGCTGGGCCTCTCCCTTGGGCAGCCCCACGTTTAGGCCATATCCACTCACCACTGCACCGGCTGCCAGTTGGGGAGGAAAGGCCGGAAGCCAGTGATGCACTCGAAGGCCAGGGTGCCAAAGCTCCAGTAGTCCACAGTCACTGTGTACTTCTGCTGCTCCAGCAGCTCAGGGGCCTGCAACCACACAAGTTAGGGACATGTCAGGCCAGGAAGGGCAGCAGTCATCTCACCATGCCCCACACTCTCCAGTCAGTTCAGCCAATGTGACCTAAGGCTTCCTGCACTTTACGTTCTCACTGCTGGCAGAGAGCGTAGGGGTCATTTTAGAGTAGAGGTGTGCACAGTACAGACTGTCCCTGTGCTTCAGTCTGTCCCCTTTAAAAATGGTTAGAGGCTAGGGATACGGCTCAGTGGGAGAGCACTTGGCTAGCATGTGGGAGGCCATGGGTTTTATACCCAGTGTGCGCATGAGCGAGTACACGCACACACATGCACATGCATGCACATGTGTGCACATGCACAAGCTGAAGGACTACAGCATTTCAGGTATGTATTGAAAACTAACTCAATGTAGTGCCCAGTGCTGGGTGCCATGTAAAGATGGGAAGGTTAGTACAGCAAGGAAAAATGCTACTAAGCTGCATTAAACAGACCCATGCAACATGATGGCATATTTACAATCAGGCAGGAAAAAGCCAAATGCACAACTTGATGTCACGGCAGAGAAAGGTGGAGTGACCCAGGACGGTGACACTGAGGCCCAGGTGAGACTGAGACCAGGCTCAGGAGGGCACATTTCAGAGAGGGCCATCACAGAGATGGGACTGGGATGGTTGGTGTGGAAATGTGACATTTACAAAGGGTCAGGGAGGCCAAATCTGGAGAAGTGCAGGGATGGTGAGACACTGGTGGTGGGTGGGTAGGGATGAATGTTTGAAAACTTGACTCTGCACACTCATCAGAGTGTGGGGCTACTTTTGGCCAGCTGCTGATGAGCAGTAGGGATTCTGGGGGAGCTGGAAGGATGCATGCATGTGGTGACATCTCACCTGGACGGTGGACGCCTCCATTCCACAGAGAGGTGCCCACTGCCCTTGCTGTTAGGGTGGGCAGGAAATAAAAGTGCACACAAAGATTTCAATCACAAAGTGCCTGGCTGTCAGCAGCGAGCAGCCTACGATGGAGTCTTGCGTGTGTGCTGCTAAGCACCTCATCACTGCACATGCACCGCTATCCCTGCTCTGCACGGGCTGCCAGCAACCTCCTCCTCCTACACTCCTGCTGCTTATTCCTGTTCCGTGCAGCTCCCTATCCACATGATAGTACAGGAGTGGGCTTTTCACAGCCTAGGCCTTCTCCAACTAAAGTGTTTCGTCACTCCTGAGGTTTGAAGATACAGCCTAAAAGCTTTAATCCAGCTACAAGATTTAATCCGTCCTTGCCTCCCTCCTCAGCTTCAACTCCAGACCCCCTTCCTACCTCCAGGTCCCAGCCACACTCAGGTCTTCCCACACACCGTCCTCCTGTCCAGAGCCTCATCTTCTTCTAGCACCACTGCCTCCTCTACTTTCCAGCCCTTCCACCTCCTCATCCTGTAGGGTGTGGGTGACGCTAGGTACCCCCAGAGACAGTTCTAGAGCGCCTTGTGCTTTTTCTGAGTTTTGTGGATATCAGGGCAATGCCTGCTTTCTGGTCAAGCTCTAAGACATTGCAAAGCTGGGAAATGCTTTTCTTCTTTGCCAGTGCATCACCAGCACTTGGCACACAGACTACGCTTGGTCCATATTCCTGAATGAATGAGCAACTCAAACAGAAGCCAGGTTCTCAGACAACCTAAGGGAAGGGAAGTGGGGAGCTCAGCTTTATAAAAGCACTAGCCTCTAGACCAGCCTGAGTCTAGTTACGTCTCTGTATTTCCAGATAAAATATTGAGGCACAGCCAGGCTGCAGGATCTGTATAAGGGCACTAGCACAGCCCATTCAACATCAGAGAAGACAGAGGACATCTTTTGGCAGAGAATGTTGACTTGATTGGATTATGGTTCTACAATGAACTCACATTTCCTATGTACTTAGGAAACATCCATGGAGCCAGCAAGAGTCAGATGTGGGAAGGAAAGGCAGAATGGAGCCCCACAAACACGCCACCAGAGAAAATGATAGGCAAACACATAAATCCCATTTCTTACCAGGTACTGCAGGGTCCCCACAAAGGAAGTACAAAGACTGCCCTGATCCAGTTCCTTGGCATATCCTAGGTCAATAATTTTGTGTATTAACTGAAAAAAAGGAAGTAGAAATCTAAGGGTTATAAGAATACACTCTTTCAATTAGAGCAGAGATATTTCTAAATTCCCAGGAGGTCTGAGATCCTAGATTTCTAAGAGCCATCACACAACAAAGGAGAATGCCCTTGACGTGGCAGGTTCAGAGCAAGAGAAAATGCACACTATAAAAACGCTAGGTACATGTTTTGTCTTTCCCTGCCTCTGATCATCACAGGAAGGCCAACATTAGCAAGTCATACACCAGCCCTCAAGAGTGCTAAGCCTGGATTTCTAATGAGAGACCCAGCCAGTCTCTTCTTTGGAAACACAGTACTCAAACTACCAGCAAGAATGAGTGGATGACCCTGTCATAGTCACAGATGGGGTCTGTGTTGCTGAAGAAAGTGCTAGCAGGAGAGCTGAGTGGCCTCGGGGTTGAGTTAGTCCATTTCACTCACTGGGCCTTGCTCCTCATCCCTGCTGAATAAACACAAGGGTGAGCGAGCCCCAGCGGCCACCAAGCCTTACACAGGGTGCCTCTCAAGAGGGCCACAGAGAGCTCTGGGGAAACTGCGGGCTGGAGCAGGCTCGAAATGAACATGTATCACCTCTAAGGGTTTCTCCTCAGCCACATCCACAACCAACTTACACTGGGCTGCATTGTAGAATCAAAAGACAAATGGAAAACAAAGTCTATTTCCAAGTGCTAAACCCAAAGGCTGAGAGGAGAGGTAGGACAACAAACATTATTTTCCTCATCAGATTCCTACAACACAGGCAACTAACAGTGTAATTCATTCAAACTTATCTACATCTACAAGCAACAACTGTTTTGCTGAATTTTGTTTCAAATCAAAAAGCATGGCCAGAGAATCAAAGCATGACTCCAGGAAACGTGAACACAGCATAGTTCCTTTTCTACCAGGCATGTCCCAAGGTGCCCCAAGACTTCCTGAGGGTCACTCACTCTTTGCTCTCCTTGCTGCAGAACGATGTTTTCTGGCTTTAGATCCCGATGGATGATTCTGTTTTCATGAAGGTATCTAAGTGCAGACGCTGGAAGGGGGAAAGGGAGTGAGTTTTTATTAAGGTTAGGAAACACTGTTCCCCCCGAATCTCCTACTGTGTGTCCTGAAGTATATTCTGATTGTTGGTGCACAGACTCCCGGAGAAAGGAGATGCCTGGGCAGATGCTCCTCGGGCAGAATGAAGGGGACCTGGCTGGGTGAGCAGAACTTTGACTACACTAGATTCTGGCTTCTTCACGCAATTGTGCCCTAAAAAACTCAAAAGCATTCAGCCTTGTATCCATACAGTCACCAGCTGCCATCTAAAGCAGTGATCTCACGTCATGTTGCCTGACTACAGCGACTGAACTTGGAAATGTGAAACTCTGCGGCCTCTCTACTACATCCTAAACCTCCAGGTGATGCTTACACTGATAAAATCTGAGAAGACTGCTGCCCTGGGCCAAAGGCCTAAATTCTGCAGGTGAGCAAGGGAGAGCGGCCCTTCTGGCAGAGACTACTCCCAGTTGTTGGTGCTGGCTTCAAGGAACAAGTGGGGAATGTGAAAACAGAGCAAGGAGACCTTCAACTTTTCGGACAGTTCAATGTGTATTCTAGTGCGCTGAGTTTGCTGACAGGTTCTGTGGATATGACTATGGCCATGACCCCAGCTCTAGAAAGCTCAGAATCCAGTAGGGAAAGAGGCAGCCTGCGCTACCCTGCAGTGAGGCATTTGACACCCACAGTTTTTCCCTGTGTGAAGATGGGAGAGGAGGAAGGGCATGGCACACAGCTATGGGGATCCATTCATTGGCAGCTTGGACCAACAAGACAGCAGTAGTTTAATGGCTTTAACAGAGTCCCAGCTAACTACTGCAGAAGAGAAAAATGGACTATTACAAAGAGAGAAAACTATCCTCACTGGGAGAGGATGTGACTAGAGAATTTAACACACTAATAACTGAAGTGTTAGTTGGCTGAAAACAAAACAAGGAAATACAAGTCAATAGTTTTTCTCTACGTCAGCTTATCTAGTTGAAAAGGAAAAAAATCCTCTTCATATTAGTAGCCAAACCTCTATAGCACTATGCAATATATTTAGCAGAAAAAAGTAGTGTTACGTGATGAGAACTATATGGCATAAAGAAAAACAGCACAAATAATAAGAAATTTTTTAAGTTTTTGGTAAAATAGACTATAAACAAAGGCAAAGAGGCCGGGGGAAAATATCTGCAACACATATGCCAAAGAGATAACTAAAGACAAAAGCACTTAGAAATCAATAAGAAGGGGCTGGGGATTTAGCTCAGTGAGAAAGCAACCCAGTAGAAGGGCCTAGGATTTAGCTCAGTGGTTCTACCGCCTGCCTTGCAAACTCAAGGACCTGAGTTCGATCCCCGGTACCAAAAAAAAGAAAGCAACCTAGTAAAAAAACAGGCAAAGATTATGAGGGGTAATTCACAGAAGAGAACATTCAAATGGTAATCAATTAACTATGTGAAAAGTTGCTCAAGCTCACCAGTAGTCAGAAAATGCAAAAGGAAAGCCACATGAAATGCCTGTTTTCATTTTCATTTTCAGCCATTAAGGATTTAAAATGAGAAATAGAAGGCACTATTCTACATTGCTGGAAGGAGTAAAAATGGGTGAGTTTTTCTTGACAAGTACAGTATATAACATGGAGACATTTATTAAATTGTAAAACTGTTCTAACCATTATTTCCACCTCTGGGACTCCAACTTATGAAATCAAAAGCATTGTGACACACATATAAGGGTAGTACAGCTTCTGCACAGCACAGACAGAGTAAACCAACTAGAAATAAAGTGAAAGGCAACAATAAAAGAATAGCTGGACAAATTATTGATTCATATTATAATAGGCAGCTTCTTAAAAATCTGATTCGGAAGGATGCCGATGATGTACTGCCAAGTAAATGGTATGACTGGTTTTGTTTTTCGGAGGAAAATGTAAATAAAAAGCAAAAGTAAAAACAACATTGAGAGGCTGAATAACAAGCCTTCTCTCTACTACCACATAGACACATACCTCACACATAAACATATGCACACACATATAAACACACCCACACACATATACACAGCTCTCATACAAACACACACACATAAATACACACCCACACAAACACATACATACCCCTCACAAAACATATGTAAACACACACACACAGACACACACACACACACACACACACACACACACCGGCAAGACTGACAAGCAGCCAAGGCAGCCTGGCAGCCCATGGACAGAGAGGGCCCAAGCATGCTCTGTGAAGACTTTTAGGTAAGCATTTCTTAAAGATGCAGCTGAAATACAGACAGCTACACAATACAAGTGCTCATTAGGGGAGTTCTAGATCAAGACATTGAGCCGCAAGACAAAACTCTGAATTACATTTGCCTTTTTAAACCCAGGCTTTGGCCACAAAGCTCCAACATTTCCTAGTTGTTATTTTCTTTACTGACCTAAGTGACACAGTAAACTGGTTTAGGCCCAGTTACTGACTAAATGAAGTCAAAGACTGGCTGTTTTCCCTATGCCTGAAGAACTCCCCCACATCTTGTTTTCAACTGTATTATTAACTTCTAAAGTTCAATGTTTCTTCAAAGCAATTTCTCTAACAACTGCACCTACACAACCTTGTAGACAGAGTGGCAGGACCACTGAATCTAAGCTACTGATCAGCAAGGAGCAAGGCCATGCAAGAACTCAAAAAGTTTGTCACAGCCAAGTGTGATAACACATGTCTATAATCCCAGGATTCTTGGAGGCTGAGGCAGGAGGACCACAAATTCAAGCCCAGCTTGTGCAAATTAGCAAGTTCCTATCTCGAAATAAAAAAATCAAAAATCGGGGTGGGGGGGTCATGCTGGGGATATAGCTCAACGTGATGGCCCTGAGTTCAATCCCCAGTACCACCAAAACAAACAAAAAAAACAACAGTCTTTTCACTGATGGATGCACAAAAGACCCATTTTGGTAGACGACACACTGCTAGAGAGCATCAGGATATGATATAGTAGTACTGTGGTTCATGAACACTTTAATTTGCAAACAATTTGGTTCACAAACAGAAGCATTTGGTAAAGTTTTATTTTTGCTTGCAAACTCTGCATCAGGTGACAAACACGACCATGGCCATCTTTTCCACACAAACACAAACATGGCCGTATTTTCCAAAATCATGGAACAAATTAAGTTCATGAACCAAGGTACCATTGTACACAAAAGTGAGTTGGTTTGTTAGAACAAAGCAGAATATTTGAAAGTTGAGACTTACTGTAGTTTGAGCAAGCTCCTAGGCCGAGACAGACGAGGACCCTAAGCTGGAAGTAGGTTATCTTAGGGGAACATCATGGGGCAGGCACGGGGGCGGGGGTATCCACCCAGCCCCTGGCAAGGAGAAAGAACAGGAGCAGGGTGATGGTGCTGAGCTGCCCCACACCTCACAGGGAAAGATACAGCTAGTGCCCTGTGCCCTGATAAGCATCAACAGCCATCTTTTCTGACACGTAAGCCATCGTACTTAACAAATCCTTAGCCTCATTTCAAGGGAGGCTCTTATTCTTCATATTTCTGGGGGCTTAAACGTGAGATCCAAGAGTCTAAGGGGCACAGTAAGGTGCGGTTTCCTGGCTGAGAGGCACGACAGAACCACAGCAGTAGAGCTTCTGCTGCCAAGGCCTCTGAGGGCCCCTTACACACAGCACCTCTGTCTCACTGCACTACAGATCACAAAACAGCGCTCGTGGAGCTGGGCTGGGAGACGAGTACAAACTACCTCAAGCTGAGAGAAACTAACTTAGTTTAAACTGGATAGAAAATGTGATACTGACATTCAGAAAAATAGGGCTGCATCTATCTGGAAGCTTATGAAAACATCTAAGCCCCTAGCAAGGCTAGATATGGGGATGCACATCTATAATCCCAGCACTCTGGTAGGCAAAAGGATGGAGAGTTTGAGCGCTGTCTGGACAGCATACCAACTTAGCAAGGTCCTGTTCCAAAGTAAAATTAAAAAACACGACAAGGGCTGAGCACGTAGCTAGCTCAGTGTGAGGGCCCTGGATTCAATCCCCATGACTGCAAAATATGAAGCTGGAACCCATGGTAATAGTGACAGTACGCACTTACAAAGTTGAAAACCATGTCATTACAACACATGGCTAATGTGTCATGTCCCACCTACACCACCCAGGCTGGGGTGTAGCTCTGTAGAGCACACTTGCCCAGGAGGGGTGAGGTCCAGGTCCCAGCACTGATGCCTGTGCTGGTTCAATGACACCATGGTATCTCCTAGGACAGACACGGCAGAGAGGTCAGGTGAAGAGTTCGCCACAGGGAAGGTCAGCTGCTGTCATCCTAGTCAGGAAAGACCCCCAGGGAGCCACCCCAGCCCTCCTTCCAGCTGCCATGGCCCATTCAACACCTAAGTGAAGAATGTGAACACCCTGAGGTTATTACTGATGAACCAGAACTCAAATAACAGCTGTGTATTTTCTCAGATGACAAAGCACAAGTTAGGAACAGATGGAGTGCCTGGGCTCCGGCAAAGAAACCAGAAGGTGTGTCCACGAGTCCCTACCCACCCGTGTGACAGGCACCAAAGCTTTGCTGAGCTCCCTTCAGGATACTTGTTCGAGAGATGTTCGTGGAGAAGAACTGGAAAGAGAGGGGCCGAAAACTCAACACAAACATTAGAAGAAAAGATAGTCACCAACTGGAGGTCCAGGTCACCACTGAGTACACAGACAACAGGATGTTCATGCACTCATCAAAACCGACTGTGTGCTTACTGTGTGCCCGTGAGTTTGTGCCCCTGGACTTACCAGACAAAACAGCCTGGAAGGCCAGCTGTAGCATGTGGAGAAAGAGTCAGTCTGGTGCAGGCTACTTGGCTACAATAGGCTCCGTGACTAATGAGGGAAGGTGGCAGGGCAGCAACACCAAGCCTAAGAGGAAAGTGCAAAATCCTCCTCCCACCTAACTCAGTAAGCATTTACCAAGCCATAGAATCACGGTAAACAATCACTGAGTAAAGGCCCAGGTCTAAAGCTGTGCCTGAAAAAGGAATGGCTGAATGTTCCTGGGAACCTGCAGGCTGGAGAGAGAGTCAGACAGTGGTTCCATGAGTCAGGTGCAGTACACACAATGCTGGCCACAGAGTGTGGGAAGAAATGCACCATTTAGGGGTTTGACCATTAGCGAGCAGTGAACTGTGATAGAAACTTCCTTTCAAAGGCACAAAAAATGGATTAGCAAAAGGTAGACAAGGTGTAAGAGGTCATAGCAGTGATCTGCTCTATACCAAACTAGCAGAGGCAGCAGCAGAGTACAGGGAAGCGGGTTTATAGCACTATGGAGGAGGGCTGGATTTGGAAACTGTGTAGGTGTGTGGCTGGGGCCTTGCACATGCTGGGCAAACACTCTACCACTGAGCTGCTCCTTGGCCCCTGCAGACACCTGGAATGGAAGGGTTTGGAAAGGGAGCAGGGGTAGAGTCTAAGAAGAGACAAGATGCAAAATTATGACATCTGTGTCCGAGTGACTGGCGGAAAGGTGGGTCTAGTGGCTCAAGAAAAAGGATGCCTAGGACTTAATCTAGAAATGACTTTGGAAGACATATCCTGTAGCCATGGATACAGACTTCAGGATAGAGAGCAGATTTCAGGAGGGAATATACTTGATCAAGACAAGAACAGCCTGGCAAAGAGAGTGCTACGAAGTAGAGAGCTGGGGGTCCAGGGCAGATAAAGGCAAACAGAATGGAGCAGGAATGAACAGAAATTAGGGAGACAAAGCTCCTGGCAATGACGCAAGTTAAGGCTAGAGTTGGGGGAAGCAGTCAGGCTGGGATGGCTCTGGGGCAATCACCCCAAAGGTCAGCTATCTGAGTGAAGTGGAACCACTAGGGTAGAAGGGACCTGGGAGGTCATGCAAAGGCCCAGACATCTCATTCCGAACACAAGAGCACCCAAGTCCTGAAAGTTTTGTGCAAAGGTTACAAAGCTAGCCACATGGAGAAGCTAGGGATGAAAGATATCAACTTGCCTTTTGTTATTACCATTATCATATTTGTTAATCTTTGTTAATCTGGTTATGTTTTTCAAACACTTCTAGACAGACGACCTGAGATCGAGTGATCACCTCTTGTTATAACTGACAGTGGAGTCAGACCAATGTGTCCAACAGAACCAGCAGGAAAACCCAGGAGGAGGGAAACCCTACCCAGAGCACCCAATGTTCCAGGTCCTAATGTGGAGCTGTCTTCCTCAGCCAGGCTGTGTGTTCCTGGCACCCTCCAGACATTCTGGACGCCCAACAGGAGTGGAGATGGTGACACAGGACTCAACAGCGACAAGGCTGGGACTACAGCTTGGCTTGGATTCTCCCAGCACTGTGTGTAAGAGCTCGGGCTCCAGCCTGGCACTACTGGGAGGTGCAGAGCGCTGGGAGGTGGACTCATGAGAGGGCTTCAAGCTCCTGGGTGTGTGCCTTCCAGGGGCAGTGGGACCCCAGCTGCTTTCCCTTTGACTCTTTTGGTCTCTTTTGCATCCTGGTCGCGCGGGGGGCATACTCTGCCCAAAAGCAGTGCTGAACAATCACACACTAAAGCTGCAAACTGTGAGCCAAACAACCTTTTCTCTTTAGAAGTTGCTTATCTCAGGTATTTGTTAGAATAACAGAAAGGAGACTACTAGTCAGCACAGCCAGCCAGGACCTAGAGACTCTAACGTAGAAACTGATGATCCTTGGTCATACAACAGCTGGGTCCCAGCCTGCCCGGCCAGCCTTGGATGGCAGGATCTCCAGCCCCACGCCAGCGCAGGCAAGCTGTCACTGCCCCTGCCCTTGACTGCCTAGAAGCCGCCCCACCACTGGCAGAAGGAAACACACCACAGTGTTTTCCAAAGGACAAGGGACAAGATTCTAAACAGGGTTCTTCCATGAGCTATTTTCAGGTCCCATTACGTGGAAGTCCAAATCATCTCCAGCTGCCTGCAAGCAAAGGGGCAAAGCCCAACAACTTGCTGCACGGAAACAGGAGGCTCACCCTATGCCTGCCAGCCATGGGTGCTCTGCAGGAAGGATCTCACTGCAAATTACACCCACTGGACAAATCCTACTTGAATCTACTGCTGCTGCTCTGAGGGGGCGGTTCAGGAGATTAGAGGCACAGAGCACCTTAGGGACAAACAAGTTTAACCCAGCAGAGAAGGCAATGAATTGGCTGAGGATGTGGCTCTGTCCCTTATCTGAAGTCACTCGAGCAGGGAACAGCCAGCTCCAATAAAAGGCACCCAGCAATGGAACAAAATATGCTCAAGAAATGTGTAAAACACAAAAGTTTTTAGATGAGTTGCTCCACACAGCTGCAGAACTCTGACTCAGTCATGAAATCCTTTTGAAACAAATAAATCTGATGGGTCTTTTACACAAACCAGACATGTGAATAAAAGTTAACATACACACTGAACAGGGACTTGAGCGCACCCACAAACTCAGAGGAAGTGACTGCATCTGCCAGTGACAGAGTGAGGAATGCAAGGTGAGGCTGCCACTTCCAGGAAGGGAGCCTCCGGAGAAGGCCCTCGAGAAGTCTGCTGATCAACTTCAGGTCATGACCTGGCGAGCGAGGAAAGACCATTTGCCAAGCGTCCATTCTGCTAGGGAAAGAGCACTGTGCTGGGACTCCCTGCACATCCTCTTGTTTTCTCCTCATAACAGTCCAAGGTGAGCAATGCTTACATTTTTACCACCAATGAAACATAGACTCCAAAAAATCAAGCAAGACATCCCAGGTCTTACTGTCAGTAAGTGAAAGTACAGCTTTTTGAGGTAGGAGTGCTAACAATAAAAGAGTAAGTAAGGTTTCTGCCTTTAGGTTTAATCCGAGGCTGGGGGAGAAGCTCAGTGATAGAAAACATGCTTCCCATACATAAAGCCCTGGGTTCCACCACTAACACCAAAACCGAAACTTAAATTCTACTGTGCTAGCCCTTCACAGTCTAATTATTTCTAATTTGGGGTCAGAGAGGAACAACAAAGTATCAGCAACCTAAAGAATTTAATATCTACTACCCACAGGAGAGCTGTACCACATTAGCACTTCACAGCTAAACCCTCCTTATCTGATTTTTATTTATTTATGTATTTGTTTTTTTGGGGGGGGCTTTTGAGACAGGGTCTCACTGTGTAGTTGAGACTGACCTGGAACTCACTATGTAGCCCAGGCTGGTCTTGAACTCACCACGATCCTCCTCCCTCAGTCTCCCAAGTGCTGGAATTACAGGTGTGTGCCACCTCACCTGGCTTATCTGATTTTCTCATAACGTACTCACCTTATACATACACACACACAGCAGTTTAGATAATGCAAAAGCTTCCACACCAGACAATGCTAAATGGATTCAAAATGCACGCAGACCAAAAGAATCTGCAGTCAGTGGAGGTACGATTGGTTCCAGAAGAAAATCACTAAAAGCAAAGCATTATGAGGCAGTAGACAAGTTTTATGTACTTGAGCCAGTACTTTAAAGAACTTCTGAGCCAGGTGTGATGGAATATGCCTGTAATCTCAGGACTTTGGGAGGCTGATCAGGAGGACTGCAAATTTGACCCAGGCCTAGGCAACTTATAACTCAGCAAGAAGGCCATGGGTTCAATCCCCAGTGCCACAACATAAAAACCTACATAAATTCTAACAAAATTTGACCATGAAGAACAAAAGAATATTCCTCAACCTAGTAACCTGCTTTTAATTCAATAGTATACAAATTAGTAATGTGACCACTGAGGTGAAAGATACAATGAAGTAAATATCTAAGCAAAACGCGTTGGGGGAGCCATGAGGAAAGGCGGACTCGTGACTTCGGCATGGCAGCCTGTGGAGAATGCCACGCCAGGAAGGTCACAATGGGATTATATCACTTTGCCCTCCAAGAGAGTTCCATCAAGAAGGAAGAGACAGGATACAAAGGGAGAGGGGTGTTCTCTATGTTAGACTGTTTGGCTCAGGCTTAAACATATCACTTCATGACTTCTCCCCTCATTTCCTTTTCGCCACCCTCCATCCAATGCACCAGAGTAAGAAAGATACAGACTCATGCTCAGAAGGCCGAGTGTGGGAGAGGTCTCTTCTCTCTCCAGGCCCAGGACATAGCTTTACATGTATGACAAATGTGAATGCCTAGTGAATAAGCTGAGAGAGGTATCTGAGTTCACCCACTCTACTCTTTTAACTTTTCAACATATTTGACCATTTGACAGAAAAAAAAAAAAAAAGATTTGAGCAAATGAAAGGTATACAGAGCTTCCAAAGGCTGAAACGGAAAGGTAGGAAAATGGCATCATTCTCAAATGTGGGACAAATACTCAAAGGTAACTCTAACCCTCAGATCCAAGCTATCAACCTGCACCAATATCCCTGGAAATTATTTTTCAAAAGCTCTGAGCAGGTCTTAGTGGCACCTGTGGAGTCCCTGTCTCCATACAAGGGCTGCCACTGACCTTAAAGCCCCACCCCATGAAGTCAGCCCCAGGGCTCTGCTGCAAGGCAGCCCTTCTTCCCAGAGCTACCTGGCCTTCTCAGAGCGCCACAGACACCTCTTCTGAGGATGCTGGCAGGACCAAAGGATTAAATGAGGAAAGTTTTTTCCTATGCCTATAGTTGGCAACATGGAGTGGAAAAATTCATGGCCAAGGGATGGAATTCATGCAAATGACAAACATCTCCATCACTGGCTCTTCCAGGAAAGCAGGGAGCAGAGCTCCAAATAGGAAAGGAAATCCGTTACTTTCCATGATTTCATCCGGAAGGAAGGAAGGAAGAGCTACTTGAGTCCAGGCCAGGCTGACCAGCCCCTTGCTGACCTCCCGACTCCCCAGCCCTCCACGCCTTGTCCACCCTCTGTAAAGACCACAGGATGGGGGGAGGCTCCCCTCTGTGCTCTGCAGGGCTCAATGCCATTTCCACGAGGGGACAACCGCCTATGACAGCTGGGGCTTACCAATGTCACTTAGCAGGGTGAGGGTGGCTCCTTCCCGCAGGCCGCAGCAGTTCTCAAACTGGTTCAAGTACTGCCAAGAGGTGGAAAGAAAATCAGTGGGAGTGGTCACAAGTCACCAGTTAACCTGCTAGTGTGCACTGCCTGCTGAGGCCACCTGAGTGAGAGCACTGGGCCCAGGCCTGGGGACTTAATTCTGCCACGCCCCGGGCAGTATTAGAGGGGAGGCAGAGGCAGTACCCAGAGGCCATCTGATGCTCAGAGCACGGACCCTGGCAGGTGGCATGTGGTTCACATCAGGGTGTGGCACTTTTAAGCCTCACCTGCCACCAAAGGTCAGAGGCCAGAGTCTAAGCTCAGCTACAACAGAGTGTCAGCTCTGGAGAGTCCCACGCCACCCTGACACTTCCCTGATACGGCTTGCCACGTAGATGGTGACAGGCAGGAGCGTCTAGCACACACTCCCTGTAAGTCTGGACTGGGCTAACCTCTGCACCCTCCCACATCTCCCTGTGCCCTTGGAACTAAGCACTGCTGGGCTCTCTGGTGCAGGGATGGGGAAGCTGAGACCAGAGGAAACCAGCGCCTGCAGCACACACAGGGGAAGGCACAATCTCACTTAGCCCTTGGCCCACCAGACCCACCATTCGCTGAGAGGCTCAGTGTGCTGCTGCAAGTTGGCCTCAAACAAAGACAGCAGAGAAAGTACCTTTCCAACTGAGACTCAATGGCACAGTTAACATTTATGCTTCTGAATATTTAAGGGCCTGTTTGCCTGTACAGCACTCAAGACTTCATCCTCTTTGGGTTTTTTGAGACTAGGTCTTGCTATGTTGCCAGGCTGGCCTGGAACTCTTGGGTTTAAGCCATCCACCCTCTTGCAAGACTTAACTCTTTTTAAGTCAGTTCTGACAGTGGCTTCTGCTTACGCGCAACCACGAATGTCTCTGTGCCATGCGTATGGATTTTGAGTGTTTAGAGGGGGAGACAGGTTGCCTCATTTGGGGAACAGAGGGCTCCACAGATCACAAGAACTCTGGGCCATGGCACCCTCCCCTGCACTGCACCTCGAAGACAGGCCCCTACGATGCCTTCTCCTCTGGTCTCCCCCAGATCTGCCTATAGCCCATGCCAGGGCAGTCATGCTGACTTTTTGTCATATTCATCCTTGGCTCTCTGCCTCTTTTGCTGCCTCACAGGCCAGGTCACTCTATTACACCATGGCTTTATCTCCACACAACCGCAACCAGTGACGGATGAGGGCCACAAGGTCAGGAACACACAGAAAGAACTGTGAAGCTCCCCACTTCTCATCGGTTATCAGTGCGCACTCCAGGGTCACGCCAACCACTGCGTTCACATCCTGCTCGGCACCGCACCCTTCCGGGGACAGGCCCACGGCCCACGGTGGGACAGTCACTCATGAAGACCAACCCTCACGGAAGTTTCCCTTTTGTAAGATAAGATAACGAGACAAGCACAGGGTGTGCCCTGGGTGCTGCCATGCCTGCCCCTCACAGGCCGCACACCCTCTGAAATTGAGAGCTGAGAAGAACAGAGCTAAGAGCAGATTAAAAAAGAAAAATGAAAAGCTGCCTTTTCGTAACGCTGCACTGCATCACCCCAAATCACAGAGCCGAACTTGGCGGGGGCGATGAGGCCCAGCAGTCACCCTGCCCACCTGGGCCCAGGTGTAACATAAGAATCTTAGCTGTGCACCAAGGTTCCCGGCTGTTAAAGACCACAACTGCGGTGCTCACGGAAAGCATGTTATGGAGAACACCTGGGAGGTGGCACACAGAACTGTCCCTGTCAGTGAGGGCTGCTATCACCTTCTGTGTCCTCACACAGAAGAGGTGGTGCGAGGAGGAAGAAGGCAGAGCTCCGGGTGAGTCAGGGTTGGGTCTGAACCGCAGCCTGATTCCCAGATGACTAAGCCGGCTCCCTTCCTGCTACACTGTGCCCCACTGTCACATCTGCAGAAAGCCTCTCCCCGTAAGGACAGCAGTAAGGCCAACCCTGAAAGCCCAAGGTGGCCCTGACAGCCGAAGGAGGGGAAGTGTGTGCTGGAATGCAAGCATCTGTCCTTGTGGCTCAGCTCAGATCACGGTGTATGCCCCCCACACCCCCGCCATCTTACTGATCACGGTGGAGGACGTACAGAGTCCTTCCCCGGCTTCCTCATCAAGGCTCCTGATTCACACCCATAAACACCACCCCAAAGCAGGCATGGAGGAGCGGGTGTGAGAAGGGTAGGCCTGCTGAAATCACCGTCAAGACTTCCTCCTCTTTAGGTTTTTTGAGACTGGGTCTTGACATGTTGCCAGGCCGGCCTGGAACGCTTGGGTTTAAGCCATCCACCTTCTTGCCAGACTTAACTCTTCAAGTCAGTTCTGACCGTGGCATTTGCTTACTTGCTCCCTGAGCTTGCTGGTGATGACGTCGGTGAGAAGATCCCCTTCTCTCCACCCCCGGCACCCCATCTGGGCTAAGCACTCCACCACCTGGCACCTCACCTTCCGGAGGTCTCCTCCTTGGCAGTACTCCATGGCCAGCAGGGGCAAGTCATTGGGCGCCAAGTTCTGCATGCCCTCAGGGACATCGCGGGCGGCCACCACGTTGGGGTGGTTCAGCCTGGGAGAGGAGGAGAAACCAGTAAGGGCAGAACCTGGGCTTCAGCTCAAACCCATTCCTGCTCCACAGCCCAGCCAAGCTCACCTTCCAGCCGAGGCCTGTGACCCCTGGAGGACACAGAAAAGCAGGGCCCAGGAGCAGTGACTTGCTTCCCTTTGCACCTGGTCAGCAGCAGCCACCAGCTCTACGTCCAGCACCCTGAGCTCAGACGCCCTGTCACTACACCTTGTGTCACTTAAGTCTTTAGACGGCTCATCTCATGTCCTTACTGGACTGCAGAACTGCTTCTAAAAGCAGAGAAAAGAGGGACTTCCGAGCTCATACTGCTTGGGGGTTGGGGGGAGTCAATGTGTGCACTGTGCACCTTCTGACGAGGCCAGCAGAGGGAGCACCTGCTTGCTGTCTTACAGGGGATGCACGGTGCTCACCTAGGTGCCCCACAAGCCTGGAAGGACAGCATCCACTTGGCAAGTGACAGGCCCTGTCTCCACTCTGTTAGCAATGAATACTAGCAGCAGGCTGACAGCAGGCACATAGCACCCCAGAACTGGAAACACAGGGGGAGGATATTTTTGGTGACAAAGGAAAATTCACCTCAGTAACTATTTATTTTTGAAACAGGACCTTGTTAGGTTGCTCAGGACTGGCCTTATACTCCTGGGCTCAAGTGATCTTTCCTCCTCAGACTCCCAAGTAGCTGAGTCTACACGTGGGTATCACTGCACTCAGCTATAATGACTAGTTTAATTTGCTACAAGAAATAAACATGACTATAAGGTCCAATCATGTCTTTCAATGCCACTCTGACAGGAGTCTCCAGAAGGGGAGAGCCACCTGTCATGATTTCAATCTAAAACATCCACCAAAAGTCTCGTGCTCAGAGGTTGGGACTGCTCAGAAAGGGCAGGTCATAAGGGGCGTGACCTGGAAGGGTACATTGTTGTCCCTGGCTCCTCCCTCTATGCCATTCTGCCTTGCAGATGGCTTACCTTGGACTGAACTCACTGAAACCATGGGCCAAAATAAACCTCTCCGCCTATAAATTGCGGGCACCAAGTATTTTGTCCCAGTGATGGGACAGCTAACACCACGTATCTGCACAGCCCTGCTGCAGTCCCAACAGTGTAGATTTTACTTCATTGCTCCCAGGCTGCTGTAGTGGGTCTGGCAGCTCTGTGCCCAGGCCTTACCTTCTCATGATCTGGATCTCCAGGCACCAGCGCTCCCGATTCCGAGGGCTGAGCTCCTGCCGGCACTGCTTGATAGCAATCTGCTCACCTGTCTCCTGCAGGAAGAGGACCAGCAGAATGAACGGGGCATGTGATCACCTACTGCGGTTGGCAAGGCTCACAGGTCTCCCCGAGACTGAGCCCCAGGGTCCTGGCCCCTGGAGTCTGGGGTATCGCACCACATGCTTCTCAGCCTGAACTTCTCTGCCCCATTTCTATCCACTCTACAGAGAAGCCCTGCAAAGCCTTACTCTGTCCCTGCCTCCTCCATCAAACCTCTATTGACCATGCCTGTAAACAGAGATTTCTATTGCTCTCTCTGAGCCCCATCTCACTCTGTATTAGGTTAAACCACAAGATGCTGCTAATATTTGGCCACTTTTTTTCTTGTACTGGGGACTGAACCCAGGGCCTTCACACTGAGCTGCCTTCTCAACCTTTTTATGTGTTTGTTTTGAGACAGAGATCATTAGGCTGCCCAGGCTGGGCTCAAACTTGAGATCCTCCTGCATGAGCCTCTTAGGGTGCTGGGATTACTGGCGTGTGCTACCATGCTTGGATGGCTATGAACTGGCCATTTTGACCTACAAAAATGGCATTTCTACATGGCTCAACTTAATGTTATGTTGAGCATCTTCACTGTTTCACGTAAAAGTTTTGCCTCTAGAATACAAGCTAGTAGTGTAGAATACAGGCCAGCTCAGATTCCAACTCTGTCTCTTATCAGCTACATGACCTTGGCACCATGTAGTCTCACTGTCTTCCTTATGAAAAGGTAACAATGACAGCCATCTGCCAGGCTGCCAAGGAGATGGGCACAGGCAGTGTCCAGCCCTTAGCAGGTGTTCGATGAACCATGTCACGATGCACTTAAAAGTATCCTGCACTTAAAATCCTCAGAAGCCTGGCTCATACCTGCCTTCCCAGCCACTTTCCCATGGCTCAGGCCTGTGCCACTGAAGCCAGATTAGACCATCTATTCTGGTTACACAGCACAGGACCTCACTTCCTCTGTGTTCCTGAAAAAGCTGGTTCCTCCACTGCACTCATACAGTTAGTTCTTCTCCACAGAGTGACAGGTTTCCTTCCTCCTCTTTTGTTAAATTATAGACATGTCCATCTCTGTGGGCTTTGGCTTCTATACCAGGAACCAACACAATGTCCTCCACTGTGGTTTCTTGAATGATGAGAAGACAAGCAACTTTTCTATGACTAATTAGCTGAGTAACTGGTTCCTGAGGATTAACGCCTCTCTGTGTTGGTACACCAAGAAGCCAAGGGGACACTGGAGCAGGTAGGTTGGGGGCTAAGGCTGTGTAATGGAGGCAACATAGTGAGTGGCTCTGGCTCAAGCACTCCAGACACCACCACTAAGCCACTGCCCTCTTCTCAGGCCCGTGGGATGCTCTAGGATGCTGACGGACAGTAGTGCCCCCAGCCACAGCAGATCCAAGCACCACCAAGCAAGATAACCTGTGTATTCATCCCTAGAGCCCCACATGAAGCAAAGATCTGGGAATGTGCCCACAGCTGGCTGGATGGAAAGGTAACTACCAAAACTATACAGATTTCACAACACGGTTCTCCCTGCCCATATACAAAAGGCAAACAACTGCACCTTCAAAATCAGCTGCACTGGATGTCCTCCCATCAGGCCATTTTTCCAAGTTTCTCATTTTATGAAAATGTGGGACTTAAAAAGACATGCAGAGGACATGCAAGACCTCACAGTGCACACAGCTACAGCAGCCAAAGTACATCACAGTCTCATGTTTCCAAACTGGCCACAACCTGCAGGACCAAGGCCATCCTGTGAGCCCAGGAATGAGCACAATCCAAACACAGGCAGAAGCTGTCTAGCAAGATCACTGCCCCCCAATCAATAAACCAATGCTAAGCACACTCAAGAACTCAGAGCTTCGGAAGGAAGATTGGAGCATCTTTTGATCATGATAGTTCCAGTGCCAGAAGAGATACTTATAGCACCTTGGAAACTCTCAGAAGCTGCTTTTATCAAAGCCCAATACTGCTTTAAGCTTTCCGAGATGCAACTACATCACATACTTACTTTTTTTGTTTTTAACAGCTTTATAATGATGTAATTTATGTAGCATACAACCGATCTGTTGCAAATATACAATTCAACGGTGGGGGATACTTAAAAGAGTTGTGCAGCCAAAACCACAAACAGTATTACACCACATTCATCACCAGCCTGCAAAGAAACTCCATCCCGGTCGCAGTCTCTTCCTTTTCTTCCTGAGTTCTGCCAGCCCTCAGCAGCCACCAGTCTATGGGTTTGCCTGTTCTGGGCATTTCATATAAATACAGTCCCAGAGGGTGTGGGCTTTGAGACTGGCTTTTCTCACGCAGCACAGAGTTTCAAAGTCCATTTGTGCTGTGCTTACATGTCCACCTCTGTGAGACGAGTGACCTCCAGGGTACAGTGTGCAGCCTGCAGCAGCTGGTGTGACAAACCAGGTCAGCCTCACTACTATTGTTCTGTCTAGTAGGACTCTGACCTTTGGTCTGGATTCTGAGGTTCTGTATGAAGAAGAACCGACTTGTTTTACGTTGTACAACTGAACCTGGACAGGAGTCTACCTGATGCTTTTCCAGAGTTGGAGAATACTTCAACATGCAGATTATGACCCAGCTCCTAAAATACTGTCCCCTCAACATCAGCAACTTCCCAATGTCTGTCCTTCAAGCGATTGGAATTTGGTTTCAGTTTCACTTCCCACGAGGGTTCAGACTACTTTTTTGGGGGGAGCCACTATTCTGCATACCACAAATAATAAAGCATACGGCAGATAGACTCAGTTGGGCATAAGTGACTGAGGGAATCTGTCAGGCTACATACCAGATGACTATAGTCTTTTGCCCAACACAAATACTGGACCTAACAGAGAGTGGTCACTGACCCTACTTAGAAGCCAGGAGTAGATTTTTGTAAAAAATTGATATTAAAGACTGATGATTTGAAACTGGTCTTATATCTTCAAACTCAAATGAATAAAGTTAGCAATATGAACACTGAAGTAGGCTTACAACTGAGCAGAGACCAAGACTGACTTTCAACTTGTGAAGAGCTCAGTGTAGTCCTACAGCTAGAGGGGAACCCTGACTTCCTAGACCTGGAGATGACTGACACAGAGACACGCAAACTTTTCTTCACTCGTGCCCTCCTCTGCCTCTGAAAATATTCCAACACATTCCAGTTCTTCCATGAGTAATAGCTGCAACTTTCTCTTATTAAAAACATACCTGATTTGGGGGTCAGGGATTTAGCTCAGAGATTCAGCCACCTGCCTTGCAAGCACAAGGACCGGAGTTCAAGCCCCAGTACCAAAAACAACAAAATACCTGCTTCCAAAAGCAAAATTCAACTGAATGATATAAAAATAGCTTCTGAATACAGATTATAAACCCTGGGGAGTTTATTCATCATCAGCAGAGAAGTCAAAACAGCAATGGATGACTTTATTTTGTCTGGAACCCGAGTCTTAGCTTAGCTCTGTGGAAACCTAGACTTGGCCTACACCACCTCAGTATCTGGGTTTCTAGTAAGTGGACAACTCTAGTGGGACAAAATTTAAAATTGGTTTGTATCTTAAGAAAACAGAAGGATCTGACTTTGAAGGTCACAATGTTTGCAATTTTTTGCCTTTTATACAAGAAAACATAAAACTTGTATATAAATGTGAGTGTATAATAAGGTATTTAAAAAAGGCAGGGCATGAGGGGACACACACCTCAGACTACTAATAGCTACTAAGAGGTGTTTTGGCATTGGTGAGCAGAATGCAGTGTGCCTGGGAAGCAAAGGGCTGCCTCAGCCCTGAAGTTAGCTTAATAGCTCAGAGAAACATGCCAGAAGCTAAGAGCTCCATTAGGCCCTTACCCTAGAAAACTCAGTTCTCTGTTGCTATGGCAACCATCCATCCAGGCCACATTAGTTAAGGAGCAAACAGTACTGACCTCCCCATTTCTTCTCAGACCCTGACCCCCAGGATGGGTATTCAAGAAAGAAGGGACAAAGCTGGGCCCCGAGAGATTATGGGGACAGGTCCCAGTTGGGGAGGCTGGCCGCAGTTTCTTCTTGGCAGATAATGAAACACACTTTCCCTCAGCACTGACCCAGTCCACTCTAGGAAGGCTGTGAGTTCAACCCTCCTGCCTACAGTGCAGACACCCATTAGGCCCAACAGCCTCTGATCCCACCAACAGGAGTCAGGAGCACGGCTCTGAGACAAAGGTGAGACTCCCTGCCTCCCCTGCCTGGCAAATGTGTGATGTGCAGGGCACTACTTAAGCTTTGGATTCCATCATAATGGGAACGACTCTGCCTTCCCAATAATGCCAGGTAAAATAAAATATGGCCTCTGACCCATGGTGAGTCTTGCACAGACTATAGCACCATCACTTCCTTTCTCTGCTTCAATATAAACATTGCTCTACCCACCTGACTTGTCTTCTCTTTTTCTGTCTTGTCATCCAAAGTCTACCTCCCTTCAAGATCCCAAAGTCCCATTTCCTCCAAGAAGTCTTCCCTTGCCTCTGAACATTCAAGAGAGACCATGGTGAGTACTTAGCAGAGCTGGTACTCCACCCTCTCCACAAATGATAACCAGTTATTCCTGCCATAAAATTTAGTACTTTACATCTAGACCTACTCAATATATTCCTATGCCTTCATGTTATCACCTCAGCTAGAACATAAGTACGTAAAGGACAAAGTCTTCTCTTTTTTCCCTTGTATCCTAGACAAAGCTCAGGTTCATGCCCGATAAATTATTAGTAAACCAGGGTCACAGTGCATGCCTGTAATCCCAGCACTCTGGGAGGCTGAGGCAGGCAGATTACAAGTTTGAATCTAGTCTGGGTAATTTAGCAATTTAGGCTCTATCTCAAAACAAAAAGTAGAAAAGGGTGGGGGATATAGCTTACGTGAAGAGGTACAATCTACAGGACTGGAAAAGAGCTCTGAACTTTAAAACACACAGATAAGCAGAAGAGAGCTTATATCCAGGAAAAGTCAGTACTGCTTCATCAG